TATATATATATAAAAAAATAATAATAATAATAAAATTATAAAACAATTGTCTTTATTAACGCGATAAAACTTACGATATATAAATATATGTACGTTTACAAAAGAACAATGCGAATGTACAGGTAAGCTTTATGTACATTTAAAAGAGAAACAATAACATTCACATCGGTGTGCTCGTCGAGTTGCTAAATTCACAAAACAAAAACGTTTTTTATTTGCGTTGGTAATTAAGGAGTATAATATAGTTATATTTAAATTATTATTTATCACAATATATTAATTAATTGATTGATTAATTAACTAATAGATGTTTTTTTATATTAATATTAGTATCAGTGGTATTTAGTTGGTTGATTATTTTTAGTTTTATTTATGTTTAAATGAACCCGATGAGATATACTTTCACCAGGGACAAGCGGCGTAAGGCACTTGTCCAGGAAATGCAAAGCCACCTGGATTTATTGTTCTGCAAATATCCTTCCAACGTTCTTTACCACCGGTTTTGCTTTTACGTTTTAAATCGTTGTCAGTTGTCGGACGATAACCAGAAAATAATCTATTCCATAGTGGGAATGCTGATCCACATGCCAATAGGAACATTAGTATTAAAATCAGCTTCATTTTTTTTTTCTAACTAAGTATTTATTTACCTGAAAATAAGAAAAAAAATTTTAAGTATTATTACATTAATTAAATTATTTAAAGTAATTTATTTTAAAAAAATATATTTATAATAATAATAATAACAATATTAATTACAAAATTTATTATTATTATTATTAATATTATTATTATTATTATTATTATTATTATTATTATTATTATTATTATTATTATTATTACATCTAATTTTTTAATACAATCAATAATAATAATAAAATTTTTTGTCATAATAATAAATTTTACTTTATTATTATTATCATTATAATTATAATTATAATTATTATTAATTGTATTTAAAAAATAGATGTATTAATAATAACAATAATAATAATAATAATAATAATAATAATAATAATAATAATAATAATAATAAAATTTATTATGACTTAAAATTATTATTATTATTATTATTATTATATCTAATTTTTCTAATGCAATAAATAATAATAATAATAAATAAATAAAAATAATAATTAAAAAATTTTATAATTATTATTAATAAAAAAAAAATTTTTTTAAACCTTATGAAGTTTGTCAGAAGTAATATCTAGTAATGAAGAAATTTGTAATAAATACTCGTTATATACTTTTGTACGTTTCAGCCCTACCACGCGGAACATTAACTAGAATCCATTGAACAATCCCGCGGATCAAAAATAAAAATTAATATACAAGTACAAATATATATTATAAAAGAAAAACTCTACGTCACGTTGATTCCCCCAATGTCCTTGGAGTATGGAATATCTGAATAAGTCTACGGACTTTTAAATGTATTTATATATATATATATATGTAGTTTGTTTATTTAATATACTCTGTAATAAATAACAAATCTACAGGCTTTCCGGGTGGATTCAGCAGGACAATTTTAACAATTCAAATCACGAAATTCCGTGACGTAGTCCTTTTAGTCCTGGATTAACATCTACGTCATACATAGATTAAAATTATACTTCGACTTCCGTCAAGTTAAAATTTAATTAAAAAAAACAGTGGGCTCAATGTCAACAAGATTGTTTCACAATAAATCCCTACGACTTAATATTCAATATAATATAATTATAATTCAAAGTTTAATAACTGTTTACTTAAAACAGCTCAACTGAACCGTAATTATCGAATTAAAGTGATATATTATTTCGGTCAGGGTCAGGAGCGATAGCGTCACCAAGATAATCAATCAAGGGCTTCTAAATTTATTTCAAATAATATATAACCGTAATAGTAATCACTTTATTATTGGCTTTTATATTAATAATTATTGATTATTAATTATTGGTCTTACCAAAGTCTTTTTTGTAAAACATACGCTACGCAAGCAAGGAAAAATATGAAGGCTAATGTCAGTAACGCTTTATCAGTTACTTCACGCCGGCCGTACTTCCCTAATAATTTTCCTGATAGAATTATTGCTTGCTGCTGTTGCTCTAGCTCGTCTTTCGTTCCGTTTACTTTGTCTGATGAAATTACTGGAAAAAAAATCACTTATTTAGTAACAAGAAATACTTCAAATAAAACTAGTCAATATGTGACTGCTGTGACTTGTAAACTATTACATAATGAATTTTGTTAAATTGCACTGTACTTTCTTAACTATTGACATTTTTAAAGATATAAGCTCATCCTCAAGTTGCACTCATCAAGACCTTTCATTTGAGTACCCACATGCATTTTTTATATATTTTTCATATATACATAAATATAATATATATAAATATATAAAATATATGAAAAATTGATGTGGGTACTCAAATGAAAGGTCTTGACGAGTGTAACATCGGGATGAGCTTATATCTTTAAAAATGTCAACCATCCACAAGATACAAGGTAATTTCTTAAATATCTTTGCAATGACACTAAATTTCACTAAAAAAACCGATTTTGTCATGTGACTATCCTTGAAATAAAAATTTTCAAACGTCTCTAAATTTTAATATATTAAAAATAATTAATAAAAAAAGTGATTACATAGAGTGTCCAGAGTATCAGCACTTCTCTGGCTAGTTTCAGCCAAAGTTCTCGAAATGCTGAGCAGCCTATCAGTGGCCAAACTTGCGGTATCAGCAAGACCTCTTTTATCTCGCCTCTTTCTCAACATCCTCTGCTGCTCCTCTGACGTGGACATCAATTCATCTTTGGCCATTTTGTCAATTACACAAGCACCGACGATGTTTGCTTTTTTGAATGCCGCCAACGCAAACACCAGTTGGCTCTTGCGTTTCTCCACTTCTTGCATCAGCTCGGCTTTCTTCTTAACATTTATTTCAGTCTCAGCTAATTGTACTAATTTGTCAATACTATTTCGTAGGTCGGCGATTCTCGTCCTGCCATCGGCGTTCAAGTCTTTTAACAATTCCAGCGGGCCAGTGCATTGTTGTATGTCCTGATAGAAAAATGACAGATGTTTATTCAAATTAATTCAGCAGACATTTAATAATTTTAAGAAATAATTACAAAAAAAAAAAATTGACACGGAGAAATTTAAAAAAATTAAATATGCAATTTTTTATAAATAATTTTTTTGATAAATAAAATTAAAAAATAATCAAATGACTGCTAACTTTAATGTCATCAGATTTATTAACCTAAAATTTTTATTTTGCCTTTATAAATAATTATATTGACTTAAATAATAATAATATTACCTGGATGATAGCTGTCACCAGGAGATGATTTTTAACTATTTCTTGGCGTATTACTGCCAACAGATGATCTTCAGTGTTCATTATTTATAATTAATAATTTTTTGACACTTGAAAAATTTTTCATCGAAACTTTCAACAAATCATCACTAATAATATTATTAATTTTCAATCAGCTGATTTTATTTATTTATTTATTTATTGTTAAATATTGTTAATTACGATATTTTTTTTTTTTTTTTTTATTACAATATGACAAGTGGTAAATTTATGACCGACCAGTTTACGAATTGTCACCATCGAACTGACATCTGCTGTCAAAATAATAAAGTTACTCCACCGATATTTAATAATACAAAAGTTAGCCGATGTTTTTAATTTTTTTAATGATGAAATTAAATAACAAAAAAATATTTTTAAAAAATTGCACTTGTAGTTTTTCAAGTTTTTTACAAATGAAAATTTTTTTAATAAAAAAAATTCTAAAAATTTTTAGATGACAGCTGACTTAATTTTCATTGATATTTTTATAATTTTTATTTACTCTAAAAATAATTAAATATTTACACAATTAATTTAAATAAATTACAAAAATTAATTGTTGTTCACCGAATTTTATTACTGTATGATAAAATTACATTTGTCATAACACATCACACAAAATGGTAAGTCAAGACATATAAATTAAATAAAATGACACTAAATAAAAATTCGGACAAGCTATTTTTAATTTGTCAATAAATCTATTTTATTTATAATTTATTTTAGTTAATTATGCTTGCAAGAGTCTATTGCCTCCTACGTCAAATAAATATTTTATATTTATAATTATTAACAACAAGTGACTTTAATTTAACGAAGAGCGCTGATGACAGCTTGAGTGAAGTCCGTGGTGGAATTTTGTCCTCCCAAGTCCTTCGTGCGTACTTTACCCTCGTTTAACACGCGGTTAAGAGCCTCGCGGATTTGCACTGCGTAACGCTTCAAGTTGATGTGGTTTAATAATTTAACACTGCATAAAATCAGGGCTGTTGGATTGGCGACGTTTTTACCAACTGCTTCTGAGTATGTGTGTCTCGCACCCTAAATAAAAAATAATTATTTAATACAATAAATAAATAAATTAATAAATTATTTTAAGTTTTAGTCAATCAGATAAATTTTTATTTTAAACATTAATTTTTTAAATAATAAATTATTACAAAAAATTCCATTTTTAGAATCTTTAAAAAATGCAATTTTTTATAAATAATTTTCTAGATATAATTTATTATTAAAGAATTTTTAATGTCATTTTAATTATAATTATAAAATAATTAAAAAAATAATTTTTTTTTGTTTTTTAAGAAGCTAATAAAATAAACAAAAATTTTTCTGATTGACTTAAAAAATAAATAATTAAATTAAATAAAAAAAAAAATTAATTTACTGGTTCAAAAACGACGCATTCAGCACTATAACTGGCACCAGCAACAACACCAGCACCTCCAACTAATCCAGATGCAATATTATCAACAATATTACCATACAAATTAGGAGTTACCATAACATCAAATTGATGAGGGTTTGATACCATTTGCATGGTGCAATTATCAACAATCATTGTTTCAAATTCAATTCTAAAATAAATAAATAAATATTAATCAATAAAATTTTTTTAACTTTGTAGATTACATATAGAAACTTGGACATGTTCCTGATACTTATACTATTATATTTTATATTATATTTATATTATATTTTTTCTTTTTAATTTTAGCAATTAATATTATTTTTTGTTATGGTTTGCAATTGCTAACACATCAATGGTTTACTCATTTAACAATCTATCTATTAAATTTATAATTAATATTGATAATATAGAATATTTATAATTAATGTAATTTTTTTTTTAATTAATAGTAATACTAATATTATTATTGTATTAAATATGAAATCACTATGCTAGCTATAAGTCATCTTGTTATAAATCAAAAATTTTTCTTGTTTTTATATACTAACTGTTGTATTATTAACCCTGTTAATGGCCCCTAGGCTGTTGGGTTTGTTTATTTAAATGAAATAAAAATAAAAAAATATTGAATAAAAAAATTACTTGGGATATAGTTTAGCGATTTCTTGACAAGATTTCAAGAACAATCCATCACCAAGTTTCATAATATTGGCTTTGTGGACACAAGTAACCTTCTTGCGATTATTTTTTACAGCGTAATCAAACGCAAACTTGGCAATTCTCTGGGACTTGGTAGCTGTTACTATTTTCAAGCACTCGACGACGCCTTTTACACACTCGTGCTCCAAAGCAGAGTACTCTCCCTCAGACTGCTCTCGGATTATCACACAGTCGACGTTCTTGTGACGGGAGTTTACTCCTGGCAGCGATTTTACGTGAACTACGTTTGAGTACAAGTCTAGCTTGTTTCTCAGCTTCATGTTCAGGGTTTGCAGCTCGCCAGTGTGCGAATGGTCTGGTGTTGCTAGGATTCCCTGTTGGATAAAATTAACAAAATATTTTTATTTGTACCTCTAGATACTTTTATATGTATCTCTAGATACATAATAATTAAGAAATGACCTTGTATCTTGTGGACTATTGACATTTTTGAAGATATAAGGTCATCCCGATGTTACACTCATCAAGACCTTTCATTTAAGTACCCACATCAATTTTTCATATATTTCATATATTTATATATATTAT